CTTCCAGGTTCATCAACCGAAACCCCTCCTTCATGCTCTCAACGGAAGCACAGCAAACGAACTGCAACAACTGCAGCCAAACCCCTCTGCTCTCAAATTCCCCAACAATTTCTCTGTAGGGTCCCACTCCAATCACAGTATTCGCCTCGATAACCCCCCGAACCATATCCTCCCCCCCTCGTCAGGCCTCTACTGTCCGCTCTCAAAAAGGCCACACGTTCTAAATCTGCGGAATTCATGTCTCAAACGCAGTTTGCTGTCACAGCCACTGTGTCCGCGTCGCAGAACAACTCCCTCGTACTGATGCCCACCGCATCAGGCAAGTCTATGGCAGTCCTTCTACCAGCTTTCATGGAAAAGAATATCAAGTCCACTATCGTAGTCGTTCCCCTCAAGGCCCTTGTATCGGAGTACATGAGGCGCGCGACAAACTTCGCCCTACTCGCATCACATTGCGCGAATGGATTGAACCGGCGTTTAAAGGGGTTCTCTCGTCGTTAAAAATCGAAACAGGCGGTGGTTTGGGTAAAGAAAGATGCCACTACGAGCGATGAGCATGAGTCACAGTAAAGGTTTGAAAAGGTAGTTTGCTGTTGTCACTGTGTGACTACCTGTAACAAGATCACAATGTGATCTTGAGCCGTGACCATACTGTGACAATCATAACAACGGTATATCGGGCAGTTACCATGCGTGTCATCATCCAGTCACAGATGTATGATCAGAGAAACGAGTGTGACGTCATCTGTTTACGAGGACCAGCCGGAACGGAACTTTTGACCAATTATTTTTGAAAAACATTCTCGTTTTGAATTCTGAAACCAAGCATTTGGGGGAGCATTACGTGCGCCAATATACCGAAAATAAATCAAAAACATTGCTTTCCTCACCATGGGCGGTGTTCAAATGCAACCAGATAGAATTAAAATCGACCAAATTTCGAACACAGAAGCAACTGTATACGGTGCTCAAATTTGTCGCTAAAGGCGGTTCGATTTCGGTACCGTTTTGCTTCAAAATACAAGCAGAGATTCTATTAGGGACACCATCGCAATCGCAGTTGCCACCTCCACATCAAGATCAAAATCAAATCCATCTCGAGCCTCAACGGCAAAACCATATCGGAGCCACCACATCCACGCAGCACAACTTCGATGAAATGCTTCTCTTGCTTGAGCAATCCGCTCCAACCAACCCCCCTCCAGCCCCTCCAGTTCGAAGAATCCTTAGCTTCTCCCCACAACAATCAAGTGAACGCTTGCTGCCTTCAGCATCACCTTCAATGCAGCAAGCACCATTTCCAGTCCGTCCACGGTCACTTCCGATGGCGTCACCATCTTTGAAGCAAGTCCTTTCGGGCAAACGGCCCGCATCACTTCCACCATCGGGAAGAAATTCATTCAAGAGCTTACGAACTTCTCCCAGTATGGCGCGCCAAACCCAACCTAATGTTCCCACAAACCCTTTGCCTTCCCCGTCCCCTCCCCTATCGTTGCCATTTAGTCACTTCCAGGCAATTGACACCGAATCGACGGTTAATTTAGTAACTCAATTCCTCTTCCTAACCAAGACGACGTGTCTCTTATGCCACGCTTCTCCCCGCCGTTCCGGTACGGAACATCCTCAGAATGACTGTCCATTCATGGAAAGAAGCTGCTATGCCTGTTTCTCTACGACCCATTTCGTCCCGTCTTGCCCCGTCCCAAGAAAAGTCCCTCTCAAGTGCTATGATTGCCGCCTCTCGCACTGCCTTGGCCAACCACTTCACCCCACATTTGGCCAATACGGTCGTTGCGATCTACGTCCTATGATATCACTCGCCTGGAACCTTTGGCGAATGAAGTCTTTCCAGCAACAGATCGCTGAAAACCTGTTCCCTTCCGAAATCCTTTGCCGCTTCAACTCCGTTCTCCGTGACCGCCCGGCCCGGGTCACTGAGAAGGACTTAGCCGTCATCTTCTCGGATGCATCCATAGAGTCCGCTGACGAGAATAACGACGATATGCCTCTGACAATATGGCTCCCACTGGCTTGGGCCATACATCAAGGTCTTCTCCAACTGGACTGCCAGTAGTTTTCGATATCCACATACTGCAGTATTAGGACCACATTTTCAATAATCTCTCAACGATAGAAAGCTTCAATCTTCTCGAAAACGGAACCATTCACATGTCACAGCGATCCTCACATTTCCATGTGCCCGTGCGATCACTACCCGCCGTTTTTGTTGAATCATTCATTTATACATCTTCTACGTCGCGCCATATCCAACTGCTATGCTCACCAATTGTGCCGTTTTGCTGTTTCTCCACTACACAAACAACCCCACAAAATTTACACTTGTGCTTTCGTAACGGCCATCTACTACCGAAGTAGCTGAAACAGAAAAGAAACATGCAAACGCACCGTTCAGGCCCCTTGCAAGACGCGTCTTGCGAGTAGACCTCTCCAAAGTATCATTCTCGCACCCTTCCAAAACGCATCGTTCTCGCGCCCCTCCAGAACGCATCATGGGCGCACCCCTCTCGAACGTATCATTCTCGCACCCCTTCAGAACGCATCGTGGGCGCAACCCTCCCGAACGTATCATTCTCGCACCCTTCCAAAACGCATCGTTCTCGCGCCCCTCCAGAACGCATCATGGGCGCACCCCTCTCGAACGTATCATTCTCGCACCCCTTCAGAACGCATCGTGGGCGCACCCCTCCCGAACATATCATTCTCGCACCCTTCCAAAACGCATCGTTCTCGCGCCCCTCCAGAACGCATCATGGGCGCACCCCTCTCGAACGTATCATTCTCGCACCCCTTCAGAACGCATCGTGGGCGCACCCCTCCCGAACGTATCATTCTCGCACCCTTCCAAAATGCATTGTTCTCGCGCCCCTCCAGAACGCATCATGGGCGCACCCCTCCCGAACGCATCATTCTCGCACCCCCCTAGAACGCGTCGTGGGCGCACCCGTCCCGAACGTATCATTCTCGCACCCTTCCAAAATGCATTGTTCTCGCGCCCCTCCAGACCGCATCATGGGCGCACCCCTCCCGATCGCATCAATCTCGCACCCCCTTAGAACGCGTCGTGGCAGCACCCCTCTCGAACGTATCATTCTGGCATCTCTCTAAAACGAATGATGAGCGCACCCCTATAGAACACATCACGAGCGCACCCCTCTCCAACGTAGCATTCTGGCACCCCTTCCAACGCATCATTCTCGCACCCCCTCAGCTCGCATCCTAGACGCACCTCTCCAGAACGCATCGTGCGCGCATCCCTCCCCAACGCATCTCTGACACACCCGTCCAAAATGCGTCGTTGAGGCAACGATCATCGAAACCTGCATACGGCGCTTTTCAATTTCGCGCAGTAAATAACTTAGAAAGCTTTGATGTTCAGGACATAAATTACTCCGCCTTATTGTGTAATTCAAATAAATTAAATTAATTACCTTATGCCTTATTGTGTAATTCGTACATGCGCATTAGGACACTGTTAGTGCAGTATAAGGCCCTGCCACTAAATCTGCCTGCTGTAATTGCCCCACCCAGCACGATACGTTTTGGGCATCTGACAATCTTGCCAGACGAGGGACACGGTACGTGATAAAATATGAAGTTAATAATATTGCTCATGCGCCTCTAATCGCACACGGCAAAAATTAAATTTTGCGTACTGACATTTTATTAGCTGTGCGCCGCCGTCGGCAAAATTTTAGTCAGAAATTCCCAACAGCAATATTGCCAATACAGCGCGTATGGGGGTGCCGCCGTGTAAATCGGCCTAAAACGTATCGTCCCACCAGAAAACTGTCGCCGTTAAAACCGCCCGGCACGATACGTTTTGGGTCATATACCGTAGACAGTACCAAAATCGCACATACGTCGAATCAGGCCTGGACGATACGTTTTTTGTCATTACGTATCGATCCTGACATGTGCCAAAAACGTATCGTCCCGCGGGAACTGACGCCAGAACTAAACATAGGGCGGGCGCGTTGGAGGAGGGGCAACAGGAGTACGGAAGGGGAGCGGTGTGGTTCCAGAGAACGTGCGGATGAGATTGTCTCATACAGTATGTGGTCATTCAGGGCGGGGGAAGGAGTGGAACGGACAGAGTAAGTGAGATCAGTAGTGAACCAATAGACGCGCGTTACGAGGAGCGCCAGCCAGTAGATGCGCGTCGGGATTCAGGGGCGTGAATAGGGGAACCGCGAATGATATCGTGACAGCGACGAACGGGATCAATGACGCGACATGACAGCGAGGATGACGTCCATCCGGCCAACGGTTGCGGTCGGATGCATGTCGGCAATTTTCGACGTCCATCCGGTATGATAAAATAATCAAATTTGGCCCTGTGCGCATTGAAATTTTTCCAGATTTTTTTCTAGCCAATGCGCACTCCGTCAGACCGAAGTAAATTTGCGCTTAATTTCAGCCCACCTGAACGCGCGTCTGTTCGGACATGGGTATAGGAAATATCCCAATATCTATATTATAAAAGGAAATATCCCCTAATCGCCACCGATGGCGAGGGCACGGCGCGCAACGACGCGCGACGACAATCCCTATCCTGATCGTCCCCCGCGCAATCAGAAAATCATCCCAAAATTTGTCATAATTTCCCGCGAAAACAATTTCTGCCAAAAAATCAGAGCACGGTTCCTGATTGGTGCGCTGTCGTCTGAGGAAGAAATCTTCCCAAAATTAAATCATGGCATGCGCCGTGATTAGCGACAAAAAGTTCTAATTGGGGCTGACAGTACACGTGTGTGCGCGCTCTTCGGTCCCGCGCGTACACGTGTACACGTGCGCCCCCTGTACTCGAGGGTACACGTGATGGTACTGTAGAGCATCGAGCCCTACAGTAACCGATCCGATTCTGAGTTGATCTAATCTAAAATAAAGCGTTCACATGTGCTTGTAGGGAGGCCTGTGCTTGCTTCCCCGACCCGATCCTTCTCCTCAGATCATCCCTCGCCTGCGTCCGTCCCTCACCTTCACCCTATCCAGTTTCTTCTGACCACTCCCTCACCATGGTTTCCGCGGCATTCGTCCTTCCGTCCGCCGTCTCCTCCCCCTGGCTCAAGCCTACTGTTCACCGGCCACACCAATGGCCTCCGCTCAATACGCGCCGCCTTCCCGTCCGTCCCGCGCACAGCCCGCATGTCCGTCCAGGAGGTCCCCAAGGAGAGCTTGAAGGCTGTCATACCGGACGAAACCGAACGTCGTCTCAACATCGGTATCATCGGAGCTGGTCGCATTGGCCAGGTCCACGCCGACAACATCACCTTCTGTCTCCGCAACGCCAACCTTGTCGGCGTCTCCTCGGGCTCCCGCAAGCTGGCCGAGCGCTGCTCATTGGCTCATGGCTGTGAACCGTACTACGATTATCATACGCTCATCGAAAACCCCGCCGTGGACGCCGTCTGCATCTGTTCTGCTTCGAATCAGCACACCGAGCAGATCATTGCTGCAGCACGTGCCGGTAAGCATATCTTCTGCGAGAAGCCCAATGATACCAATCTCGAAGTCATCGACAAGGCTCTCGTTGAAGTCAGAAAGGCAGGTGTCAAGCTTCAAGTTGGCTTCAACCGCAGGTTTGATCAGAACTATCGCAGGGTTCGCGATGCCATCATTGCGGGTGAAATTGGCTCCCCTCAGATCTTGCACATCATCAGCCGTGACCCTGCACCCCCTCCGCTTGAGTATGTCAAGAACTCTGGTGGCATCTGGATGGACTGTGCTATCCATGATATGGACATGTCGCGCTTCCCTATCGGCTCTGAGGTCGAGGAGGTCTACGTCTTGGGTGCTGTCAACCTCGATCCCGCCATTAAGCAGTACGGTGATGTCGACACCAGCATCGTCACCCTCCGTTTTTCAAACGGTGTCATCGGCTCGATCGACAACTCTCGCGAGGCCGTGTACGGCTATGATCAGCGTTGCGAGGTCCTTGGGTCAGGTGGTTCCATCCACATCGACAACAATTACCAAAACTCAGCTGTCATCTCCGATTCATCTGCTGTGAAGCGCGATCTGCCTTTGAATTTCTTCATGGATCGATACACTGATTCTTTTATCGTCGAGCTCAATAAGTTCTGTGACTCTGTGTTGAACGACAAGCCTGTTCCATGTACAGTTCTTGACGGACGTGCGCGTGTGGTCATCGCGCTCGCCGCCAAGAAGTCATACCAGGAGAGTCGACCGGTGCGGCTAAAATGTGTTTCACGATGAGATCATGTGGTGAAAGAGGCAGAGTTGTTCTCTTCAGCCTGGCTCCTCCGCTGCAAGCATATGAAGTTCGGTTCAAATCAACTCCTTCTTTGTTAGAGGCGCAAGGTGGCGTGCGTGAGATGGATGGAGGGTTGAGTGTATGCGGTATGTTCACAACTAACTCAGCATATACGCTTCTCGAGACTCAATTGCCAGGGCCGGGCATGCGCTCGACGATGTGGAACGGGACGATATTGGCTGTTAAATCGCGCCTCAGGATGCGCTGCTGTTAGCTAGCTGAAGCAAGACTAAACAAGGTAGATTGCGCCGTCGGTGTGAGAAATCAAGCTTGCCTCGACTTTCCAGCAATGCACATGTCCACCAGTGCACTGTGGCCACCCCTACCCTTTTTTGTCTATTTTTTTTTCGAGAGGCGGTGGCGGTGGGGCTGCCCGTCGTACAGTACCTGTGCACGCCGCGCAGGTGCTGCTGTAATTTTTTCCCATTAATTTTTTTCGTTATTTTCGGGGTATGGTGGCGGCAGTGATTTGGTGATGGCGCAATCGGTGTTAGTGCATGGCGCGCATCTCCGGCGTCGCTCACGTGTAACGTTCTCATGCCCCGTAATTTTCCTTATTACGGCGCATGTCTCGGCGGCGGATTTGAAGTGTCTCGCGTCCGTGCGCATATATTGGTGCCCCTCCGACCGAGTTGCTCTCGCTTCCTCGCTCTTATTGAACGGCCCTACCACGCGTTCTCCTGACGCCGCTCCCCTCGCCTGCGCCTCTGCCTGCGCGTTTCGCGCGTCTTCTCGCACACAACCCAAACCGAAAGGACCATGATCCGGTTTTCTGCCGAGCTGTTTAACCCGGATGCTGATTGATGGCTCGCCGTGAGCCTCCACCTTCTCGGATATTCCGAGCTTAGAGGAGGGCATTCTGGTCACTTACTCCGCCCACCAAGGGCTCTCGTGATTTCACCGCTGATCGCCTCGTTCGTCGGGCACCCCTCTTCGCCGTGGTTGCTGGACTGAACGGATCGTCCGGCAATCCTGTTCGGGGGGGGGTAGTCCTACTTTTCCGATCCGAACGAGGTTTTGCGGTCCTCGTAATGTCGGTCATTACGAGGGCCCAACATTTTTTCAGGCAGTTCGTACTGTCCTGTTCTTATGTCTCGCGTTCTTGACGTCCGAGAAGTCAAGACGACTTGACTTGAACGCGTCCCCGGCTGTGACCCTCCGATAGGGTCCGCCAACCTCCTTCGCTTTCTCTTTTAGTCTGTTCGTGCAGGCTGGGGTTAATCTGCGAAGGAGCGGTTGAGGGCCCCCCCCTTAAGCGTGAACGTCCGCGTTCACGGTTTGGGTGAGGTCTCTGCCGGTACGTCTCCGGAGGCGTTGGGCGTAACGGGACACCAACTCCTCCGGGACGTGAGTCCGCGCAGTCCAAGTGGGTGTGTCGTAATCCGCCCACTTGATGAGGAACTCTGTAGTTCCGTCTTCCATGACCCGATGTCTCAGTAGCCGTTCAACCGCATACTGCGTTCCCGCGGTGACCTTATCGGCGAGGTCCCGTGGGGTCGTCGTACTTGCTCGTGGCGCGTCTATCGGAGACGGCGCGTACACGCAGCGGTCGGCGGAGACTCGCTCGGTGACCCCATCACGATCGATCGTGATGGTTCGGCGGTCATTGGCGAGCACGCGGTAGGGTCCGACAGCGGGCGAGGCGAGCTTGTTCGACGTCTTAGCCCCATCGGTGGGGTTGAGATATACGTATTCTCCGGGACGGAGCCGGGAATCAATACGTCGTATGCGCTTATCGAAGTCGCGCTTGTAGCGAGCCTGCGTGCGACGCAGGCTCCCGTAGGCCTTCTGGATAGTCCAATCCAAGGTCTTGAGGAACTCGGCACGTTGGTTCCCCCTATCGGAAGGGGGCGCGTCGCCGTCCGCCCGTCGGAGAGAGAACTCCGGCGGTGGCCTGCTGAGCACGAGCTCAAACGGCGTGGTGCGTGTGGTGCGATGTACGTGGGAGTTGTACGCGTACGTAAGCGGCCCCACGTACACATCCCAGTCGTCCTGGTGTTCACCCACGTAGTTCCGCAGCATCGAGGCGATTGTTCGGTTATATCGCTCGACTTGCCCGTTCGTCTGGGGATGGTACGCCAAAGTGTACAAATTCGTTATCCCCAGAACGCGGCACGTGCTGTGGAAGAACTTGGCGTTAAAATGCGGTCCGTTATCGGACAGCAACGTGCGCGGGACGCCGTACTTAAACACCCACGATTCGCAGAACGCAACCGCGACGGTGTATGCGGTTATCGTGCGGAGCGCAACAACTTGCGTCAGCTTACTGAAGCGGTCCGTAATCACGAGCAGGAATCGTTTTCCTGTCTTCGTCTTGGGGAGCGGCCCCAAGATGTCGATTGCGAGGCTCTCGAGGGGCCTCGTAGCTGGAAACAACCTCAATCGGTTGAGATGTTTCCTCAGCTTGACCCGGTTCATCGCGCAGGTTCGACACCCTCGCACCGTGGCTGCTACGTCTGCAGCCAGGTGGGGCCAGTAGTACTCGCGTCGAAGTGCGTAGTACATACGGTTCTGGCCCGGGTGCCCCGCGATGGCCGGGTTGTGGCACAGGCGAAGGAGCCTGGCGCGAAGCGTCCGAGGTACCACCACCTGAACGATATCAGGGTCGAAGGGGTGTCTCCGTTTGAGCACCCCTTGGTGGTCCTCGAAGAACGCGGAGTCCCGGGACTCTGACTGTCGTGCCAAAACGGTTTGGCAGAAGTCATCCACGCGTTGCTCCTCGACTATCTCCTCTATCGTAAGAGGGGCCGGAAGGTCGTCCTGGGGTGGGGCGACCGGGGCATCGAGCACGCCAGCCTCGGGGTCTTCGGCGCGCTGGATGTCGACGGCGTCGAACTCGTCGTTCTCCTCCCAAAACGAATTGGGTCCTTGGAGAGCGGGGGCTTCGTCGTCGCCCCTCGGTTCGTCGCGCGTCCGTGCGCGCGACCTTGTTTGGGCTTCGGCTTGGTTCCGTGTCGTTACGAAGACATGGACGGCCTGATGATCACAACTGGCGGTACAAGAGTGGTCCGCGAGCTCGTTCGATACGTCTCGAACTGTCGTGCCCCCGTCGAAAGTGGGGATTTCGTCATCCACCTCGACGGTGGGGCGAGGGTCATCGGCGACCTTCGGCGACACGAGTCGTGACAGGGCATCGGGCACCTGATGCACGCGTCCGGGGCGGTACTGAATGGTGAAATCGTATTCAGCCAGACGTAGCCGCCACCGGGTGAGTCTTCCGGAACTCTCGGTGAGTGACATGAGCCATCGGAGGGCGTCATGGTCCGTCCGTACAGTGAACTTCGTGCCCTCTACGTACGGCCGTAGTGTGCGGACGGCCCACACTACGGCGAAGCACTCGCGTTCGGTAGCGCTGTAGTTGCGCTCACTATCGGACAGTGAGTACGACCAATACCCCACGGGGCGCCAGTCGTTCGGCTCTTCGTGCCCCTGAAGTAGGTTGCAGCCGAGTTGGTAGGCACTCGCGTCGGTGTCTATCATGTACGGACGACCGTTCCGGGGCAACGCGAGGATCGGCGGAGCGATCATGCACTTCTTAAGGTTCTTGAACGCCTGAAGTTGCAGCTCCGTGGGGTTATAGAAATCGGGATCCGAATCCTTGCGCGTCATGTCGGTCAGAGGACACGCAATCTTAGCGAACCCCTTAACGAATCGGCGGTATACGTTACACGCCCCGAGGAACGAGCGCACTTGCGTCAACGTCCTTGGGAACGTGAACGTCTTGAATGCGTCGGCCGCCGTATCAGCCACGCTCAACTTGCCTGGGGAGATGACGTGCCCCAGGTAGTGCACCTTCGGTCGGAAGAAGCTGCACTTCTTGAGCTTAAGGGAGATACCGGAACTCCGCAGTAAGTTCAAGACGGTATCGAGATGCCTCGCGTGTTCTCCGTGCGTACGGGAGAACACGATCACGTCGTCGAGATAGACGAGGCATATTTGCCAGCGGACTCCGGAGAGTATTATGTCGAGCGCACGTTGGAAGGTGGCCGGTGCCCCTTTGAGTCCAAACGGCATGCGCAAGTGGCGAAACGTGCCCATGTGCGTCGTAAACGTGGTCTTATCCCGGTCTTCCGGAGCGACCGGGATCTGCCAATAACCGGAATTGCAGTCCAACGTGGTGAAGACGGCTGCATCTCCTAACGAGTCGATGCAGTCGTCCATCCGTGGCAGTGGATACGAATCCGCTGCCGTCTTCGCGTTGAGACGCCGGTAGTCCACGCAGAACCGAAGAGAGCCGTCTTTCTTCGGTACGAGCACCACGGGGGACGCCCACTCGGTGCTCGCGGGTTCGATAACCCCTGCGTTCAACATCTTGCTGACCTCCTTCGCGACCATTTCGCGCATGGCCGGGCCCTTCCGATAGGGCATAGAACGAATCGGTTTCGTTCCCGGTTCGAGGGGAATGCGGTGCTCCGTGGCTTGGATCGTTCCAAGCGCACCGCTCCACAGACTCGAGTGCTTACGGAGCATCTCGAGTACGTGGCCACGGAGCTTGTCATCTTCGATGTATGACAGGTCGATCTCTTTTTCCCAATCCATCGGTGGATTTTCGGGATCCTTTTGCTGGGGGAGTACAGTACCCTTCGCCGTCGGTTGGCATAAAGGCGAACGTTCGTCCGGGTCGGCCCCCCTGCCCCCGGAGGTGGTCTTATCGTCGGAGTTGGATCGGCCAACTCCTACCCCGCCGACTTGATCGGTCAAGTCGGTCAGGTGTAGCGCGTGCGCGATCCCCTCGG